GATCCTGAGTCAGTAATCTTTCAGTGTTGGGAACGATCCTGAGTCAGTAATCATTCAGTGTTGGGAACGATCCTGAGTCAGTAATCTTTCAGTGTTGGGAACGATCCTGAGTCAGTAATCTTTCAGTGTTGGGAACAGTCCTCAGCAGGAATCGTTCTGTTGATTTTTTTTTGGTTTTGTTTTGATTACAGCCGATGCAGATCCCCATCATTAGATATCAGGACGTACGACTGCATTATTTTTTATTCTGTGTATTTTTAATTTAACAAAATTAGCTTCATTTAAATAAACCTGTATTTCACAACACTTGGAACAACTTGTACAAGGAAATATTCATAAAAGCCGATGTCGGTTGATTAACCGGTTTATGTGTAGATGTGACGTGTTGCTGTGGGGCAGGAGGATGAGCTGAAAGTCTCACCATTAAAGCACTGGATCCACTTCCTCCTTTCATCTCTCTGGCCTCCAACATCAAACATGCTGCGGGGGAGACAAAATATCAAAATACTGGGTCAGAGCTGGACAGAGCAAACCCGCTCACTGCTGCCCTCTTCTGGACACAAACACAGGATGCTGGTCGGCTTTAATCCCTCAACACTTTTCATTTAATCTTTATTTATACACATCTTTAGACATGGTTGGTAATAATACTGTTACATAAAACCAAGGTCTGTATTTGTTGGACTGAGGTCTGGGTGACCCAGTCTGGATGTTTTAGTCACCAGAGCTAAATTGCTAATTGTAAATGAGTCCTCGAGGCTCAATGGGATTTACCTGTATAAATAAAGGTTGATTGATTGAAATTACTAAAGCAGACCCAGAGCTTCTTCATCGGTTCCTCAGGATGATCTAATGTGATACAAAGGCCCATTCGAGATGATAAAACGAGGCGGTTTGTTGCGTCTGCGAGCGCGGAGAAGGATTATGACATCAAAACATTTTCCTCCATCAGCCGTTCTCAGAACTGAAAAAAGTGGAATCTGGCCCAGAAGCTTCACTGCAGTCAGTCTAGGAACGATGACGCGATTTTCCACATCAGCTTCCGGACGTCCAGCGGCTTCTGATTTGTTCGAGGAAACCGACTTTTGACATTTCAAGCTCCGAACACGAGGCTAAGGTAAATATAGCAGCGATGCCCAGCAGGGCATTCCAGTCTGTGACCGTTCCGTAACAGAGATACAAAAATAAAAGTAAACTACTGGAAAACGCCTCAAGAGCCTCTTTTTTTTTTTTTTTTTTTTAAAGTGGGTGACTTGAGATTGGAAATATTCTTGCATGACCTGGAACGTAAACGCAGATGATGACGAGGAAGAAGAGCTTTCTGTGTGTTTTTCAAAGCAACTAAAAGAGCTGGAGGAACAAAAATACGACTAATTTTAATGTTAGTCATGCTTTACTTTAAAAACAGCAACCGTATATTTTAAAGAAGGATCCACAAATATCCCAACAAACTGCAACAATGGTGTATTTGTTACTTTTGTTGTGTATTCATTAGGGATGCACGATATTAGATTTTTGGCTGATATCCGATATGCTGATATATTTAAACTCATTTGGCTGATAACCGATACCAATATCGATATTTTCCCCCAGACCTACTTACAGAGACTTCATAGCTTTTTATGCAGTGGAATTAAAATAGTATATTATTCTGCATGGTCTTTGTTAATTTGGCCTGCTACCAAATGCAGATGCCAAAAAGGGGCTGAAAATGATGTAACACTATATTAATGTAATATCTATCTATATATATATATATATATATATATATATATATATATATATATATATATATATATATATATAAACAGTGCCTTTTATATCGGTGAGTTACTTTGACGGAATGTCAGATATTTAACTTTATTGCTAATATCGGCCGATACCATGCCAATAATATCGTGCATCCCTAGAATTTATTATTTTTTGTTTTTACGGTTTTCCTTTATGTACATTTTGTGCAAACTAACAACTTCTGCACACTTGGTGGTTTATTTTAGCTGATTATACATCAAAACCTTTAGCTCATTCAGAAGACATAGTAACTTGGTTTTTGTATCATTTATACTTTTTAAAATATTTAACTTTATTTATAAAATATTCCCTGGAAAATTCCATCGTGAGCTCTTAGGTACTTTAAAAAAATGTTCTAAATCAGCATCAGTTCTCCACTTTTTACTTTTAGCTTCTTAGGCTACTTATAGCTTTTAGCTACCTTTTCCCTGCTTTTAACTAGTGTTCTGCTACTTAGCTAGCAATTTACTTTTAGCTACGATTTTTTTAACTTCTAGCTGACACTTTGCCGCTTTCAGTTGGCATTTTGCTACTTTTACTCAACATTTTGCCACTTTCAGATGTTGTGACACTTTTAGCTGGCGTTTTTCCACTTTTGGTTTTTAGCTAGCAATTTGCCTTTTTAACTTTATGCTAGTGTTCATCTTTTTTAGCTTTAGCAGCTCAGTTTCAGCTTCATCAGTAAAGAGAACCTCAATCATTTCGCTGTCAGACTGTACTTTGGGGCGGCTGTGGCTGAGTGGTTAGAGCAGTCGTCCTCCAATGCAAGAGTTGGGGGTTCGATTCCACCAGCAGTCACATGCTGAATTGTCCCTGGGCAAGACACTGAACCCCTCATTGCCTCCGATGTGTGTCCCATCAGTGTATGAATGTGATAAAGCTCTGATTATTCTTTGTACAGACCTAGTAGAGTGCTGTATGAATGGGTAAACGAGGGCACAGATTGTAGTGTAAAGAGCTTTGAGTGTCTTGATACGATAGAAAAGTGCTACTATATAAGTACACTCCATTTACAGTTTACTTTTACAGCTGCGTTTGTGTTGATGTTTTTGCGAAAGCTGCGCAGACTTACTGAAAGTTCACTTTGTCTACTTGGAACCTCGTCTCAAAAATCCCTGAAGTTAACACTCGGCAGCGTAGCAGGTCCTGTAATGACAGACAGAGGCCCCGCCCCGTTAGGAGGAGAACGACAACAAACTGAAGGTTTAAAAAGTTAAGATTAGCCGTGAAACTCACCTGGTCTGTTGGTGTGTAGTCACTCTGTCTCACAGAGTCGATTCTGTCCAGGAAACTACAGAAGACAAAAAGACAACAAAATATTCAGCTTTGGAGTGAAGCCGTTTTTGTAAGCAGGTGAAAAAATAAGTCTCTAATGCAGTCAAACCAGGAAAGAATGACGTTTATTTCCATAAAGAGAAACTCAAAATAAGGTCACTTTGATGTCCAGATTTATGTGAACTCATTATTTAACTGTAGTCTGATCAAGAGGCGGCTGTCATGTCCGACTTCCTGTTGAGGCCGGCGTTAAGACGGCCGTGCGCCACAAGAGGGCAGACGAGCTCAGTCTGAGCTATTTTAGTCTGTCTCTAGCCAGATGATTGCATAAGGCAGTTACTGTGGAGGTTAGACGGCCTGCTGTCGCCGTCTCTTCACAGCAGACAGCATGTGTGGCAGCGGCGGCGGCAGCTGGGCCTCTGTGCAGCGCGGCGGGCGAGCTCGCTACGCACGGGCCTCTGGATGATATGGATCACTCCGACCTAACACCAACCCCGACAAGACACCGGAAGTGCCATGACACACTTAAAGCTAAATGAGGCCTGAGAGCACAGCTATAGAAGAGAAACAGTTCACGCCACATCTAGTTTAGACTTTAGGCTCTCTAATATTGTAAGAGACTTTTTATGGAAGCTACGCCTGACGATTTGGTTAAAAATTAACAAATTCCTTGGCTCAAAGGCAAAGGTCTCTAAAAAACCAACAATACAAAGACACAAAATATAAATGTTTTTTTCTCTAAAACAAAAAGGCCATGAAAGTCCCAGCGAGGTATCCTTTGCCATCGCGCTCATTTAGGTCAAAACTACAAAGAGCCCGAGTCAGTCAGTGTAAAGTCGACAGACAGAGGTGTTTACTGCTGAAAACAGCTTTACTTTGTAAGAATGACCCAGATGTGGACCAAACAGGGTCACTCTCGCAGTAGCTCTGGTTTTCTAACCAAAACGTTCACTTTGAGGATTTCACTGAGGCAGATGGGACGGCTGAGGCGCACAGGAAGCCCGATCGGCAGAAGATCTTTGTGTTTGCGGTTTCTGTCGAAGACGACTGTCACTTCATTTTCACTTCGGGCCTAAAAGCAGCGCGGCAACACGCCCAACGAGGATTAAATAACTGAGAATAAACGCTGCTTTATAAACCATTAGATAACGGCGACGCTGCTCATGTGCTCCGACAACAATGTTTTCATCACAGACTATTTCTGTCCACACAAAAAAAGAAGAAGTGAGGCTATTTCTTGAAAGAGCACTCCACTTTCTCACACTAATTTCATGAGACCTACAGCTTCACCAGGTGTAAAATATTTCATTTTTATCCAAAGAGCGTTTTTGTTTTCTGTGTCAAATAATAAATTGCAAACGTATTCGGTTTTAATATTTACTATATCTGCTCTAATTCAACTTTGATCCTCTATTTTTTTATATAATAATTGTTAATTTGAAGACATTTTTCAGCTTGTAAATGTCATGAACTCTTATTCAAATCAGAAAAATCTGTTGCTTTTTTGTTATCCAAGTATAAACATCATGTACTTGGTAACCAGGCCTGGTCTAAATCAGCAAATAAATTTCCCACAATTCCGTTCTGTCTTTGACTTACAACTCAACCTTTGGACTGCTGTTACTTTTCGGCCTGATTGCAAAATTGACTGGACTTTTAAAACCTCAAACTTATCCCAAATATAAACTTAAACACGATAACTTTTGGAGTTTCTGACCGCTGGAGGGTTAAAAAAAGAAATGTGTGAATGAAACTGTGACAAAGTTGAGACATTACTGGATTGTTTTTTTTTAAAAGTAATCATTTTGACGGATAAAGAAGCAAACCTAACCAGTATTTTGGAAGAAAGAAGCAATAAAAATAAGAAAAAAGCCGAAGAATTAAAGATTTTTTTTGACAGTTCAGCTTTATTTTATTTTATTTTATTCCTACCAACATTATGAATTCATTATCTCCCTTCCTAACACCCAGGGTGGGAACCACTGCTCTGTCAGCATCTATGAAGACAGATAAGTGTTTCTGCTGACTGTTGAGAGCAATTATGTTTACGGACAGTTAGAGATGCTCTAAAAGGCAGAAAATAGAAAATAGAAATGGGCAAAGCACGACTGAACTTCGTAAACAATGCAGATTCACAACAACAACAAAACTAAACAGATAAGCGCTTTCTAAATATATTTTATTTACCAATCTGCTGATCAATTTCTTGATAAACTGTTTCAGCAATAAGTGCAGTAAAGTAACGACCTAAAAAACATTAGGTTACATGTAAACAACAGATTCTGAATGGAAATACAGTAAAAAAAAATTAAAAATAAATTGAGCTCAGTGTGAGCTTTTTGACGGAACATGTTTTATATTTAAAAGACAAAACTTCTCAAAGCACTTTTTGAATGAATGCATGTCGCCCGCCGCCTTTCGTGCCAGAGCTTTAAACTGAGATGTTCTGTTGAGAAACGATGGCGTTGTAGATGTTACGGTCAAACGTTGAAGTATTTAGCTTGAATTAATCTCTGCAGGAGTTTTTCTGCTTACACCAGTGATCCAATGTTTTTGTTGTATGTTGATTGGTGTTGAAGTCAAAATGAAACTTTATTGATCAGACGTGCTACCAGAAAGCAAGGATAAGTATATTGTTCTTGTATTTTGTTTTATAATAATAAATCGATTAAAAAACAAAGCATTTCTTAAAAGAACGCACGACCTGATGTCCTCCGTGCCCGAGTTTTAGACTGAGATCATCTTAAAATGAGAAACGACGGAGTAAAGAACGACTACGACGTCAAATTAAAGCTCCAATTCTGCAACATTCAACGATTAGCCGTGGCAACCATCTTGAATCGAACAGATTCAAAAAGCCAATCAGACGACAAACATCCAGCCATTATTTCCTGAAAGCTTCATTAAAATTTGTCCAGTGACTTACGAGATATTTTGGTAACAGACACAAACACAAACCATCCACATGTTGCCCGTTGGCGGCGGGCGATAATTATGTTGAAACTCAACACAAACCAACAACTTGTTGTGCAGCGGGTCACGATTCTGAAGACAAATAATGCATCATCAAAAACTTCTAAATGCTGTTTGGTGTTTATTTGGACCGAGCCCGTGCTCTGCACAGGCAAAAAGAAAGACGTCTCGTCTTAGCTGACGAATTACTCATAAAATGACAAACCAGCTTTCGCTCATTCTCTGCACCAGTGCATTTTGGGTATTTTTAGTCTGTCTTTTTGCAGAAACGTAAATAGATTATAATTACTGACTGCCATGCGACAGAAGCACTATTGGTAGAACACTGAGTTTCCAAATATAGCCTCGGAGAAAAAGACGGTTAGGTGTTAAACACAACAAAAGTCCAAGTCTAAGCAAAACCTGCTGTCCAGGTGAGGCCTGGTTGTGGGTTTGGGCGCAGTATGCAGCAACCATGGCTGTTGCGGTGGGGAGCTACGAATAGTTGAACCGGGTTAAAGGTCCGCGGATGTGCGGTTTGTGCCGTTTTCTTCCGTCTCCTCCCAGAACAGTTGACGGCTGGCATCTGAGATCTGTGTGATGTGGTCAGCTCCGTCAAACTTGTGGTTCGAGGGACGACAGGCCACCAGTTTCCACTTTGTTTTTAAGTGTGTGCACAGCACACACACGGCGAAGTACACTTGGGCTTTTGTACATTTGTTTCAGGTTCGAGCTCTTCACACAGAACCGCATTAAATGAGCAGTAGTTTCTCATTTAGCGAGCCTCCTTGATAGAGCAACGCCTTTGATAAAGCTGCTCTTTTACAGGTTTATGAGTTTTCTTACTACCATATTGTGCCCTACCCCCCCCCCCCCCCCCCCCCAACACACACACACACACCACCAATCCATCCCTCCTCTGAGTTGGGTTGGCTCTGTATTTAGCTTAAACACAGTGCACTGGTCCTGCGGGCCTGTCTGTGTTTCTATGTATAGGCTTTGTTGTGGACAGTATCACTTGACTCGGTCTTTCTGTGTTTGCCTAATCTTTCCATAAAACAGACAAAAGCATGGTTACACACGCCACCCGAGCCCCGTTCACACACAAACACACACTAGAAAGTAGAGGGACAGTTGATGCTGGGGGGGGGGGGGGGGGGGTCTCAGGCCTCGGACCCCTCAAATGGTGCAGGTCACATGCTGCTGCCCTCTGAGCAGAAAAGGGTTTTAAAACGCAGCTTGGAGCCGTCCAACAAAAGCACCAGTACACGTTTTTTGTCATTAGTTTGCTTTTTTTTGTAAAGAACTGAATTACAAACAGGGTGAAACACAAATCTGAGAGAGGGTGGAACCAAACGGTGTCAAATTAGCACGTGTGTAAAAATAACACACCACTTTAAACATTAGGAAACAGAAAAAAAGGTTGAACCTAGGCTGCAAAAAGTCCCTTTCAACTGACAGGAAACCTTCCCACCAACCAGCAGCATCCAGCCTCATGCGCTCATCTGATAATTGGGTTGACTTTTTACAAATAGCAGACCATCTTTAATTAGCAGTCCAGAGGATCGGATCAATAGTTTCCATATTTTGAGCCGCTCAGAACAGCATAATGGACTTTCACTTTGGTCTCCAGCTGACTGGTGACTTTAAAACTCTGCAGCACCATCCACGCACGCTAAAGCAGACATGTAACATTTGAAGGTTTTCAGCTGGATTTTTGTGTTATCACGCGGCTCTTTTAAAAGTTCTGCTCTACGAAGGTGAAATATATATATATATATCAGAGAACATTTATTCAAACCTTTAAAGCTTCGAAGTACACCAATTCAAAAATGAAAAAAATAAATGAATAAACAGAAATGTAAGTAAAAACAGAATGCAGTAAGTAACTACTGGATCCCTGTGATCTTGACTATATTAAAAATAGGGATGCACGATATTATCGGCATGGTATCGGTATCGACGGATATTAGCGATAAATATCGGACATTCCATCAAAATAACACCAATATAAAAGGCGCTTTTGTTTTTTAATATATATTACATATTTATATAATGTTAAATCATTATCAGCCCTCTTTTTGGTATCTGCATTTGGTAAC